ACTTTCAACCTCTTGCCTAACAAATTTTCAAGGACTCCTTTTCACCACCTTTTCACGAATAAAGTTCCAAAGAATGATATGCAGTTTTAAATGTGTGACCCCTGATTTTAAACAACCACCCCCTAGTTCTAGATTCTCCCAAAAGAGGAAACATCATCTCAAGATCTACCCTGTCAAGACCCCATGGAATTTTATATATTTCAATCAAGTCTCTTCTTCTTCTAAATTCTAGTGGATACAAACACAGAGCCTTTCCTCAGAAGCAACCCTCCCATTCCTGGTATTATTCTACTAAAATTTCTGAAGTGCCTCCAAGGCATATACATTGCTCCTTAAATATGTTACCAATACCTGACAGTGTGCACAGTACTTAAGATGCAGTTTCAACAGTGCCCTGTATAACTGAAGCGTGACCTCTCTACTTTGTAGTCAATTCCCCTCACATTCTATTAACGTTGTTAATTACTTGCTGTAGCTGCACACTAACTTTCTGTAATTCATAGACTTGGACTTCTGGATTCCTCTGCATATCCGAGCTCTGCGATCTCTCAGGATTTAGATTTTATTTTATTCTTCTTCCCAAAACTGGATAATTTCACATTTTTTCACATTATACCCCATTTCCCAATCACATAACCTATTAATATCCATTTGCAACCTCCTTGTGTCCTTTTCACAACTTACTGTCTGACCTTGCCTTTGTATTATCAGAAAATGTGGCAACCATACCTTTCTTCCCTTCATCTAAGTCTTTGATATAAGCTATGAACAGCTGGGGTCCCAGCACTGATTCTCGTGGCACACCACTCAGTACATCTTACCTACATGAAAAAGACCCATTTATTCCATTAGCCAGTCAATCTTCTATCCATGCCAATATGTTACCCCCACACCATTTTTTATAATAACCTTAGATGTGTCATCTTATCAAATGCCTTCTGAAACTGAATGTACATACATCCATCAGTCTTCCTTTATTCACAGCATATGTTACTTGCTTGAAGATTGGCCAAATACAATTTCCCTTTCATAAAACTATGTTAACTAATGTTGCCTGATTATCTTGAAGTTATCCAAGAGCCCTACTACAATATTTTTAATAATAGCTTCTAATATTTTCTCTGTGATAGAGGTTAAGGTAATTGAGCTGTAATGTCCTACTTTCTGTCTCCCTCACTTTTGAATGAAGGAATAACATTGACTCTCTTCTAAACTAATAGGATCATCACCAAATCAAGGGAATACTTTAAAGACCCTAGGATGAATTCCACCAGGAAGTGGGCAATTGTCGGACAACAGCTGTAACAATTTACTCAGTGCCACTTCTCTGGATTTTCCTGAGTTCTTCCCTCCCGTCTATTTCCTGATTTCTTTCAGTTTCTGCGATGTCACTTATATCCTCTATAGCGAAAACTTATGCACAATACCTGTTTAATTTATCTGCTGTTTCCTTACTTTCCACTATTAGCTCTCCAGTCTGATCATCTACAGTTAACTCTTTTTCTTCTTTTATTTATTTATAGAAACTCTTACTGTTTTTTATGTTTCTAGCTACCTTTCTCTCATATTCTATTTTTTCCCTTTCTATTAATGTTTCAGTCAATTTTTTATTGCTTTTTAAAAATATTCTGCCCAATATTTTGACCTGCCAACAGTTTTTTATACCATTATACGCTTTTTCTTTAAGTTTGATATTACCTTTAACATAAGTGGTGGATCTCTTGGAATTTTTCTTGCTCATTGAAATGTATCTATTCTGTAGTGGTATTATCGCTAGACAATTAATCCAGTGAGCAAGATAATGTTCTGGGGGCCTGGTTTCAAATTCCGCCAGAATTTGAAATCAATAAAAATCTGGGTTTAGGAGTCTAAGGATGGCCATGAAACTGTCGTCAATTGTCAGGAAAAACTCATCTGGTTCACTAACATCCTTTTGGGAAAGAAGTTGTTATCCTTATCTGGTCTGGCCCTACATGTGACTCCATACCCACAGTAATGTGGTTGATATTTAATTGTCTTGGGAAATTAAGGATGGGTAATAAATGTCAGTCCCACATCCCAAGAATGATTTTTTTAAAAATTCTGAAATATTGCCTTAAACGTTTGCCACTGCATCTCTTTTGAACTATTGTTTAACCTAATTTGCCAATTCACTTTAACCAGATCTACTTTAATGCCCTCATAATTGCCTTCATTTATTTTTTAAAATATTCAGACCCACTAATCTTCCTCTGAAACTGAATATAAAATTCAATTGTACAATAATCGTTGTGACCCTAGGGGACCTTCATTATGAAATAATTAATTAATCCTATCTCGTTGCACAATATTGTGTCTAGTATAGCCTGCTGTCTGGTTGGTTCCAGAACGTACCATTCTAAGAGATTATCTGTAAACATTCCATGAACCATTCGTCTCGGCTGCCTTTGCCAAATGACTTTCCAGTTGATATGTAGATTAAAATCTCCCGTTATTATTGCCATACCTTTCTGACAGGCTCTCATTATTTCTTCACAACCTTACTCTGTGGATGCTGTCACAGTGCATGTACACCACTCCTACAAGTGACTTTTTACTTTTATCATTTCTCATACCTATCCAAACTGTTTCAACATCTTGGTTTCATGAACATATGTCATTCCTCTCAATTGTGCAAATGCTGTCATTCCTAAATATCCTGTACTGTTAAAGATTCAGGTCCCAATCCATATTATCCTGCTGCCATATTTCTATAATGGTTATCAGACTGCAATTACTAATTTCTAATTGCATTCTTACTACCTCTGTTTTATTTCAAATGCTGTGTGCATTCAGGTACAGAGACTTTGTTTTATCCTTTTTTTGTAAATCCTCGTCTTATCTGTTGGTTGAGTCTTAGATTTGTACTCTCTATCTCTTCCTGTCACAGTCTGTTTATCATTTTTCACATTTGACTTTCTCTTTGGCCATACATATACTCTTTGATTGAGCACATTTTCGGTAGTTGGCATGATTCAGGTGGAGACCTGCTCTTGGTACAGATCCCATTTCTCAAGTACTGATGCCAGTACCTCTGAAATTGAAACCTGCTTCTCCCACATTGGCCTTTGAGCCACTCATTCATCTCTTTAGTCTGATTTTCCCAAAGCCAAATTGCGTGTAGCTCAGGTATTAATGCAGAGATGGTGATCTTTGAGGTTCTGCTTCTTAGTTTGGTGCTGAACTCTAAGGTTATTGCTATGCATGTGATTCTTTTAACAATTTATTTTAACTTTGAGCACCGTAACATGCTTGTATTCAACATATTCACAAAAAAACAAAAGTGAAAGTTTTTTAAGTGAATTTTGTTCATATAGGAAGACTTAAAACCCAACAAACATTGAAAATGAAATCTCTTAATCATAGCTTTTTCCTTAATTGGCACAAGTCCTAGTCCAGATCTGTCTCTATCACAACCTAATTAGGACCATGTTAGTCACCTCAATATCAGGGGTATAATGACAGTGAGAGCAGGATACACCTCAAGGAGCTGTTGGATTTTATAATTATACATTGATGATCTGAACCAAATAACATGTAAGCCCTGATGTCACACACAAAGTTGTTGCATGAGTATTGTGTGCAATGTTAGTCATAGCAGATTCTGTATACTTAGGATAGATTACGCAATAGGAATATAATTGAAGGTGTAAATAGATACTGCTTCACTTCGTAGCATCATTATTTTGTGGATGATGTTATGGATTATTTCATAAAGCAACAAGTCAAGGAACTGGAGGTGGCACAGATTGGCAAGACTTTGCAACATAAGTGATAAGGTCACCTGCTGACAACATGAGATCCTTAATGGAGGTTTGACAAGAAATAGTACTGAGAACTGAAGGCGCCAATATACCTAGTCTGAATCCAGAAGGATCACCCACTTGCTGAGTGAACCTGGAGACTGATGATGGCTGATAGGCTTTCCTGGGAATGAAATAGATACCCTCAATTAACCTCAAGACGATGACAGTGCTGATGATTCCACCTTCCTGATAGCTTACCAGTTCTGCCAATCCACCAAATTTGATATATTTTGCCTGACTGGAGGCACATCTTGTGTAATCATGAGTTTGAGGGGGGGTGTAGGTCCCCAAGATTGAGTGGATGCTGCCAGGATATAGGTAGCCAAGTTCCTTCCTTTAAATTGGGATGCGTTGGCATGGTCTGTAAGTGACCACCGTCCTCCAGCAGCTATCTACTAAACAATCTACCCCTGCACTCAGATAAAGTAATTAGTTGAATGTAAATCATTTCGGCTTCAAGAAATGCTAAGTTGATAAATGATTGGGTTTTCTTTACTAACTCTGTAATTTCTCCTTCATTCTATTCTGAGAGCTGTTGAAATGTAAAATGCAGCATTTAAGTTGCTTCATTCTCAAAAAAAAACTGAGGGTTGTCCAATACTGAGAAACATTATGATGGATGTTTTTGTGTTTATTTAATTTATAGCCCTGAAAGTCCAAGGTATACATGAAATGGTTACATGTTTGATTTATGCAGGCATTCTCACCAAGGTGCAATAAAAGACCAGTTGTTCTATGCAACTTGTTTGTGCCTTTGGCAAAAGAAAATATCAGAAGAGGCATGGGTAAAACCTATTGCTTTGTCTGGAAGTGAGCAGAGCAAAGCCACTGTGGCATTGGAGGTGAAAAGGCAATTCTTGTTCTTTCAAAACATTTCTGTCAAAGCCAGAAAAGAAATCAGATATTGAAGATCATCATATTGACTTTTGAAGCAGTTGAATAGCTAGTTGAATATCAGACACTTTTTTTTAATGGAATTGAAAACCTGACTCTTAATGAATAAGGTAGGTGTTAGCATTTCTGCAAAGATCCATACTTTTTCCTCAACTACCACTCAATATTTGAAAATAGTCTTCTGTTTTATTATTGTACAGTTCTGAGTATATCTTTACAATATAAAGCCAGCTATGTGGGCTTTCATGGCTCTAAATGCATATTTCTTTCTCCTTTTCAAAGATCCAGTGCATGGACCTCAGAATGTAGAAGTCGTGGATGTCCGATCACGACAGTTGACTATTCATTGGGAGCCATTTGGTTACGCGGTCACTCGTTGTCATAGCTACAATTTGACTGTTCAGTATCAGTATGTGCTTGGTCACCGGGAATACACAGCAGAAGAACTGATGCAGACATCATCCCATTATACATTACGAGGGTTGCATCCATACACGACAGTGAAACTCCGGCTCGTACTACTTAATCCAGAAGGAAAGAAAGAAAGTGATGAGATAGTTATCCAAACTGAAGAAGATGGTAAGTGCTTGTCTCTTCCTATGTTTCTCCTGATGGTCATCAGCAGGGGCATGTTACAGAAAAGTTTCACTCATCTCTCTAAAAACAAGGGAAATGTAAGAAGGACATAGTCAGGGACATAAACTCCAGGGACAGGAGCTTCCTCATCTTCAATCTGGTGAGAGAGGGAGAGACTTCATAGCGCACATCCCATAGGACTGGACTTTGTATAAACAACAGGAACACATCTCACACAACCTTTGTCAGAGAATTGAACAACTCAACCAATAATGCCGCAGCATTATGCAAGAGTTTATGTTGTAAGATTGTTTACACTAATGCTGTATGTTTTTATGTAGCTTGAATTGCAGAAGTGTCACCTCAGTTAGTTTACTCTGCATACACTCTAATGAACTGACAAACAATGCACAGGATGTCTGCGAAAGAAACGATCTTTAGTATTGCATGCCTGGTACCGTTTGCAACAAAAAATCGTAGCACTTTTTCCATTGGCACCCAATATCTGTAAGTAGGTTCCATTTCTTTAAAAAAAAAATTGAATATAAATGTAGAACCCTAAGGATCAGGAGCTGGAGATGGTCTACTTGCCATTCAATTCATGTTTTACTCCATTTCTATCTTACTGTAAATGGGAAAAAAAAATGGGCTGCAGGGGGGAAATGTGATATTGTGTAAAAGAAAGATCTCTGGGAAATAACATTAGTACCACAATTAATGAAGTAACATGAATTTTAATCTTCAACAATATTTTTAAGATGAAGACAAAAGTGTCATCTATTACAGCAGCTATGATATTGCATTTTACTATGAGTTTATTGTCATAGAAAATTATTGAAGGGTCAAATGTAAGAGCAGGCCGTATTGTCCATCAAATATATTGTACCAGTTTGTGGAACATGGCAGTTTGTCATTTTAATACCAGTTTCCAACATTTTTATACATACCCTTCAATTTTCTTGCTTTTGAAATAAATACCAATCCTCCATTTAAATATAACTGATCTTTTGTCGGCTTTACTTCCAGATTTGACTGGAACATGAAAGTGATTTTGTTTATCATTAGCTGAAAACCAACTCAAAAATAAGTTTTCAACCATTGAAATTCCAGACTTGAAACATAAAGTGGTCACTTTAGATCCATCTTTGGAATGGTTTTCTTGTACAAAAGGAAAAGGTATTGCTGAAAGAGCTGACATTGTCTGGAGTCCAAGCTCTGGATAAATGAACTTATCTGTAATCATAAAACTCAACATTCAGAAATAGTTATTTCTCCACATTACAGAAGATGAATAAATATACTTCTCTACTTCTCTGTTTGAATGCTGGATTTTCCTCTCACAACCGTGTCCTTCATTCTTTATACATATAATACCTTTGGTGAAGACTATGCAGGGTTATTCTCTATGAAATTTTATCACAAATATTTTAAAATGTGTGCCTACAAAGTTCCTCCATGTGTTGTTTTAAAATGGTTATTAATCCAGCAAATGTAAGTGGGGAACAAGTGCACTACACTCGTGCATTTATATTTTTTCTGCATCCTGCCGCAACTACCACTGAGAGTGACACTAATCCTCAAACGTTAGAATATTGATGAGAAGAAAATAATATTCAAATGATATTGCCCTGTTCTGCTGGACTTGATCTTTGTCACATATTGTGTGAATGAAAAACACACAGAAGAATATTTAAATTGCTATCTTCCTTGTCATGAAGATAAAGCTGTCCTTGTAACTATGTGCAGTGACATTTTAAATATATCTATTATATGTATAGACATATATATACACAATTAGCCATTAATATGCTTCTAACATTGAATTGAGACTAGGTATGGAAGGAGAAGGATTGCTCTGGATGTTAAGTGTCACAGCATTTAAATCATTTGGTTGGTATTTTCTCGAGTTAACATTTATCATGGAATTGTTTTTTTAAAAAAAGCACATTTATAATCTTATAGAAAATCTGCCCAATAATACATCAATTCATTTACAGCTTTACCACACATTGTAATAAAGACAGCACTACTGTCAAGTCTCAAAAAACAATTAAGATAAAACTCATTCCTTTTCAAATAGAAATAGGTATAAAATTCAGTATTTTATAATAATGTTTATCTTAAGAAAATATTTTTAAAAATCACCCTGATAATCTTGTCTGATATAAAATAATTTCTTTGGAAAAATTACTTCATAATTCTTACCCTTACAATCCATATTTGTAATTGAATGATTAGAGATTGAAGCCTGCAGAGTTCATCATTCTTTTCTAACCAATATCAATAGCGAAAACAAAGATGGAGCATCTGTTTATTAAATTTCAGTGGCTATACATAAATCATTCATTTACTAATGCCGCAAATTTTTAATGAATTTCTAAGTCTGTGTGTCCTTTACAGGCAGTCCACTTACACAGAGTTCGCCTGTCAACTAGTGAGAATTTATATGGCTAGATCCTCAACCCAATGCATTTAAATCGTCTAAAGATAAGTTTAAAGAACAATCAAGAGGTCCCAATGCCATTTTAAACACAAGAATTATACTCAAGGCTGTGCTAAACTGAAGCATCATGTGACCACCTGCTTCAGGCCACTACACACTGCTCTCCTCTGAATTCTGAAAATCAACAGTAATGTTGAAGTTCCAGTTTAAAAATAGCCTTAATTTGAATGTCAGATGGGGAAATGGGGCTAGATTTTATGTTTATCTAAGTATAATGAATTCTTCCACATTTAGGCCGTGAAGATTGTTGATTTAGTCACTATGATGTTTGCGCAGTGTGTGCATTTCCTGTGTGGTTGGTGCCAGATACCATGTTGCGAAGGTTATCAGTACTGAAAGTATGTAGACTTAGGCAGACCTACTCAGTCAGCATGTCGTGCTATTATGCTTTACTCACTGCCCACAGCTGCCTTTCACACCCCAACTCTACCTCCTGCTGTGTCCATCCCTGGAAAAGAAAATCCCACAATTCACTTCAAAATGCATTCTGAAGTTTCCAATGGCTGACCCCTTGGTCCTCCATTCACCCCAACATTCTGTAGCAACTGCTTTGCTCAACCACTCCCCTGCCTCTACCTTTGATGCCTGAAATCTGAAAAAAAACCATGTCTCCTCTCAACCTGTCCATTCCTCATTGTACTATTTTACCTGTTTGTCTGTTTTTGGCTAACTATGTTTTGTGCTATAATATTTCCCCTCTTTATCTTTTAATAATTTTTTGCTGTTTGTGATATTCTGTCCAGTCTGTTGAACTGCCAGTTATCTTTATATGTCTTTTCTTTGAGTCTTATATCGTCTTTGACTTTGAGTTTACCACAGATGGCGGGTCCATTCCTTAGATATTTTCTTATTTGTTGGAATTTATCTATTCTGTGCTTTCTGGAATATCTCTTGAAATGTTTGTCACTGCATCTCTAGTGACCTATCCCTTAACCTAAATTTCACTTTGTCACTTCATCCGACATAGGGGCAGCATTCCAAAAGCTTGTGATTTCAAATAAATCTGTTGGACTATAACCTGGTGCTGTATGACTTCTGAACTTGTCCATCCCAGTCCAACACTGGCATCTCCACACCTTAACCTAAATTGCCAGTTGACTTTTGATAGCTCTGCTTTCATGCACTTATCATTGCCCATATTTAAATTCAAAATAGAAGTCTTGGACCCACACTTCTTTCTCTTACACTGTATGAATCATATTACAGTCAGTGCTTTGACTATGAGGTCAGTAATTAATCGATCTCATTGGTCAAAACTGGTTTTGGTATAGCCACAACACAGGTCCAAGAATTTGTCCCAAAAGCATTCAATGAATTCCTTCGCTTGACTACTTTTGCCTGTCTGATTTTTCCAGTCTGCATGTGGTTTAAAATCTCCTGTGGTAACTGCTGTATTCTCTTGACAATCTCCATTATTTCTACTTTGATAGCCTATCCTATCATTGGGTACTGTTAAAGAGCCTGCACACAACTCCCAAAAGTGATCTCTTGCCTTTATCATTCCTTTCCTGGTTCCCTGAGTATAAGTCATCTCTTACTCTTCTTCTAATTTCATCTTTAATTTACAAAGCCACTCGCCCACCCTTTTCTAGCTTTCTGTCTTTCCTAAGTGCCACATGCCCTTCAATATTCAGGTCCCAGTCTGGGTCATCCTGCAGCCTTGTCTCAGTTATGGCCACTAGATGGTATTTGTTTACCTCAATTTCTATTATTGGTTCATCTGTTTTGTTTCAAATGCTGCATACGTTCAAATACAGTGCCTTAATTTTTGATCCGTTTATTATTTTTGGAATCACTTATCATATGTGCTGATTGCTCTTAGATCTGCTTTATCTATCCCAGCCTGTTATTCTCTGTTTATCATTTCCCATATTAATTCCATCCTCTTCTGTATTTTCCCCAATCTTTTATTCACCACAGCCTCCAAAGTTTGGGCCCTTGTCCCACTACTTAGTTTAAAACCTCCTCTACTTCCCTATGAAATTTGCAAGGACACCAGTCCCAGTACAGTTCAGGTGTAAAGTGTTCCAATGGTCCTGATCCTACTTTACTCAGTGTTGGTGCCAGAGCCCCATAACATATCACAGGACACCAATACTATTAAATCTTGTGCTTCTCATTTAGGACTTGGCCACTACCAAGGCAACAGCACAAAAACAGCTTTTTTTTAAATCCCAAACCTCCAGGCATACAAAATTCAAATAAGATAAAGCATTGAATAAGAAATATAAGCACAATAAAACAGAGCTGTCTTAGCTTCAAGGGGAGTTGCAAGGGCACTGAGGTTGTTAATGACCAGTGCAAATGAGTTTTAAATACAGTCATAAACATGATGAGTTCACAGGTTTTGTACTGAAAGTGTAATTGCAGGGAAGATTTAATTGTATTTAATAAAAATGATAAATGACTTGGTGCCACTTTATAATAGTTTGAACATGTTTACAAAGGATCAGATTTGTGTCGTATTTAATGCTGATTATCCTATTTATATGTTTGCTCT